TTACTTTAGGGCTGGATGGGTCACTGGCCTGCCTCAGTGAAGCAGTTCTTGTACTCTTTGAACTGTAAAAGGCTTACACTTTTACTTTTCTGAGTTAACTTACTGTTTTGTTCATATGGACTCACTGTATGTATGTGCTCTCAAATTGCAACTGACTTGTGGCGATTTCAGCAAGGGATTTTCAAGGCAAGTGAGAAGCAGATGTGATTTGCCATTGCTTTCCTCTTCAGAGTCTTCCTTGGTGGATGGACCACAAAAGATCCCAGTATAATCGGACAAAACCTGAGGTCTTTCTGTGGTACAGCATCATTACAGGAAATACGAGTTAGCTTGAGTGACCAAAGGGGGAAAAATATGAAACATTCAGGTTTTGCTTGTTATTCTAAAAGTGATAGGGGGCTGGACCCATAGAATCATAGAAGGGGCCATACAGACCATCTAGTCCAACCCCCCGCCCAATATAGGGTTTGTTCTTCTGACAGTGGAACCTTCCACCAGTGGAATGTGTCTGTCCCACATGTACCAAGACTCCTTGTATTGGCCAAGCTTCCCTGACCCAAATTTAACATTTGGATCCAACACAATATGATTCCCTTCCAAATATTTGAATGCAAAGGGTACCCAGTTGTATACTCACTAGTGTTTCTTGCTTGAAAGTCCCAATCTCATGTTTTCAAATAAATGTATATGATACTACTTTTGAGAAGTCCCTAACTGCATTTCTCTATAGACCAGCAAACACTGGATGACATAGAGAAGTCTGTCAATGATGACATGAAGCGTATCATTACTTGGCTTCAGCAACTCAAGTGAGTAAGCTGCAGTATTACAAACTTTTAACTGTGTATCTATATGTGCTTTTTATTGCTGCTCCTTCTCTACTCTCTTCCAGCATTATGAAGCTATGAATTCCAGTAACAAGTCCCTGTTGTAGCTACAGGGAGATGTTACCCTGCCAAACATATACCAATTTAGCAACTAGCCAAGGCTTTTTTTTTCTTCCTTTGCATTGCTTTACTCTCTCTTGCAAGCTTGGTAGCACAAATTCATATTAACGAAATGCTTTCCTTGGATCTGGTTAGGGTTGCAAACAAAATCATAGTGCAGGTTGCTTCTTCTTGAACGTATCTTTTATCAGCAAGATTAGGTACCTAGATTCCAAGTTAGTGCAAAATGGTTACATGTTAAGGTATAGTTTGTTTGTAAAACCTTTAATCAGAGTTCTTGAAGGGCTAGTTGTGAATAAATTTATAAGTTAATCACTCCTATTGACGTTGGTGCACAGTTGGTAAATAGCTTTGACACCATACGATGTCTCCCACATACTATTGAGCTTGGTATAAACATCACGGACTGTACCATTTCATTTTATCAATTCTGTTTTTGAAATTCATAGATTGTAAGCTGCTTTATATAAAGACTTGTTTGTTCCTGGTATATTTTTAGCTCCCATGTAAATTATGTAGTCCAAAGAAGAGAACTGTCCTCTTGCAAATACAAAGGATTGGGTCAGTGAAGCTCCAGCAGAAGTGAATCATTCCCACTTCCCATAGCAGCTCAGAAGATCTTTGAAAAGTTGAAGCTGGTTGTCATGGGAACTACTTAGGCAAAGGCCACACAGTCCCAGAGAACTACAGTAAAATGGGGAAAACCAGGTGAAATCTGTCCCCTCTTGCTCTTGCCAGCAAAACGCAGCAGCAACCATTTTACCTTCCTGATCTGTAGCCCTCTGGATCTAACCCAGTGACCATGTACGCACACAAAATCCAACAGAACTTTGTGATTGTATTATACTTGTGTGTGTGTGTGTGATCAGTCACATATATACTGGACAAGCAGCAATAGGCAGCCTTGACTCTGTGACAAGTATGCTTGGATGAAGTTAACACTTCACATTTTGTGTATGTGTAAAACATCTTAGGATATGCACCTCAAATCAGAATGTGTAAGGTGGCTGCATGAGAGGTTTGTTTGTCAGTTGAAGCTGGTTTCTGTATGATTATTTATAGTCAAAAACATGATTGTAGATGCCAGAAGGCAAATAAGGAGTGTTGTGTATGAATACCAGTGGTTTTGTGTCTTTTCCCTCTTTTCTCTCCCATTAAGGTTTTGGCTTGGGCAGCAGCGTTGCAAACAATCAATAAAACATTTGCCCACGGTCAGCAGTGAAACGCTACAGCTAGCTAATTATGCTGCTCACCCTGTGGGACTTCTCTCCAATCAAAAGCTCTTCATCAAGCTCACCCGACTTCCACAGTACTACATTGTAAGTGATGCACAAATCTTCCTATGAACTTTGTCTCTGGAATGAAGCAAGCAAAATGGGCCTTTTTGTCAAGTGGAAGATGAATTAACAGAGGCTAGTTATAATTACTGCTTTGATCTTTAGCTTTACGACTTTGTGTTGCCAGCACGTAGCATACCATCAATTTTTAGCTAGTCATGGTCTCCTCTTTTTTCCCTGTCCAGCAAATGGTTAGATTTTCTTTCCTTGCAGTGATGGACAACTTCTGTGTTCTCAGAATCCTTCATTATTAAGGGCATTTACATGTTACACACACATTGCATACAATATGAAGACAAAATATGACAGTCTGGAATAACTTTCTTACAGCTTTGAAAACTTTGAAACAGTGGGCAAACTCCTATTATATTTTGATTAAAACATGGTTGAGTCACCAGGGACCAGATGAAATTGGAACCTGGTCTGGCTTGCTGTATGGTCTAAGGCAGGAGTTTACAACCTTGTTGAGCTTGTGGGCACTTGAAATTTTGAGGAAGAGTAGTGACGGCCTTGGGGTGGGGCCAGTCACAAGATGCTGGGAGGTTCCAAGGCAGGTGTCTTGCTACTGTACACTCAGCTGCTTCCAAACAGATGCTATCTGCAGGTACAAAGGCCTCCTGCATCAAGGACATGGAGAAAGGCCAGGATTAGTTCTCTGCTTTAGGGAAGAAATGCTGCTTGTTTTCACTTTTAGACCAAGCGAGTGTTTTCTCCCTCTGTAGCTACAGAGAAAGGTTTCCAAGCCATGAGATGCAAGAAAGTCTGTCTCTGGTCAAGCCAAGTGTGCATTCCTGTGAGATACCCACTGGGATGAGTTCATTGCTTTGCTAGTCAGTAAGATGGTAGGGATCAGCTCCAAGTCCCCTGTTGTTTTTATTTTATTTTTCCTATTTTTAATTTTACTCTTTACTTTTTAATTTTGTTTCAATTTTGCCATTGGCCCAAAGGATAAGAAACTAGCCAACTAAAACTTCACAGTCTGTTGGCTGGAGTATTAAAAGTTAGATTTGTATGTGTAGCAGTCAGTCTAAATAAAGTTGCTTGGAACAGCAGACACCCCCTCCCCTCAGCAATATTGCCATCAGCAGTTGAAACACCCCTCAAAAAGGGGTGTGTGTGTGAGGAAGGGATTGCTGTTCAAGAAACACAAGTTTAACTCTTGTTTGGTTAGGGCTGCCAGCTCTGGGTTGGAAAATACCTGAAGACTTTGGGGGTTGATCTGGGAGAGGGTGGGGTTTGGAGAGGGGAGGGACCTCAGCATAGTACAATGCCACAGAGTCCACCCTTCAAAGCCATTTTCTCCAGGGGAGCTGATCTCTGTCAGCGGGAGATCTCCAGGCCCCACCTGGAGGCTGGCAGCCCTATATTTGGTGTTATAACATACTTGGTGTTATCATATACTTGGACACTGTCTATAGTTTCCAAAATCATTAATGTTAAAATAATTTCACTTCATGTTTCAACAAATGACTCATGCTTTTTTACACTTGTTTGCAAGAATTTTAGAATAGATAGGTTCTGTCAGCTGCAGTTTGACCTCTGCCATGGTTTGTGAAAATAATAAAAACAATGCACAATTTGTGTTAGAGCATGTAAACTTCTTGTGTACCCTTGTGCTCAGTGCTCATGGTGGTATTTCCAGGTTGGCTTCTGGGGCCCTGTTTAGTGACTGACATGGTGGTATTTCCACGTTGGCTTCTGGGGCCCTGTTTAGTGACTGGTGGTATGGGCAAGGAGAGGATTCTTCAATTATGAGCTGGAACATTTTTCAAAATGAGTGTCATTTCTTTCATCACAATATAGGTAGTGGAAATGTTTGATGTTCCCGGCAACCCCACAGAGTTGGAATACAAGTATTACTTTCTCTCTGTGAGCTATCCTGAAGGAGATGACAACCCTGCAACTGCAGTTCTGCTACAGCAGTATAAACCAAATATTGAAGAACTGGTTTTAGACACAAAAAGCAGGAGGCAAGCAAAAAGTGGCACAAAACGGAAGGTATGAAGCTGACAGCAGGCTCTACATTTTAAAAAATTGATTTGGTTTCTTTCTACTGAAAGTACTAACTTGTTCTAAAGTAGAACTCATTTCATAAGCCAATAACCTGTTTGGTTCAGTGTCTGTCATGTTGTTTTGAGAGAACTCATACTGTTGACTTGTGCAGGTATTTGTGTGCAGAAAGAAGAAGAATTTAGTGAAACATATTCTCATACTTCCTGAAAATATCAAAAATATCTGTGTCTTTTGGGAGCATGAGGAGAAATGGTTAGTTAGGTATTTCCTAATTTTTATTAGCAACGTTCTCCCTCTGAATGGTTTTCTGCTTTTCTATCATGTTGGCTTATGGGAAAGAGCTCTTTGTTCTCCAAACTTCAAATGTTCCATTAATTCAAAAGAATGACTAAAAAGGCATTTCAATATAAGACTTTTAGCTGATTTATAAAATCAGAATGTATTGTTGCGTATTTGTGGGGATGAGAGTAAGATGGAGTGCTCAGGTTGTTGTGAAAATCCCAGTGATGAGGATGGAAGTCCTGTAATTTCTTGATATATGTGGGTGTCTTGGGTATTCAACAGCCAGTTGAATGCTAAACATGTAATATTTTTGAATAGCTTAGTGGGGTTAGAATATCGCGTTAGCACCAGGGAGAGGTGTGTTTAGATCTCCACTCGGCCGTAAAGCTAACTGCATAACCCTGGATCACTCAGCCTATCTCATAGGGTTGTTGTGAAGATAAAATGAAGGAGGAAGGAGCCATGTAACTCCTTGGAGGAAGGGCTGCTTACGTGGTTCACTTTTAGCAGGTAGCTTTCATGTTGTGTCCCTCATGCTCGTAGTTTTAAACAGTGATCTGGTTTTGCAGTAGGTAGAAATGGCACCCTGCTAAAAGATGTTGTTGTTTTCTAGCTGTCTGGTGACCCGTGTACCACAGAACCCAAGAAACCAAAACGGTCTGGAGAAATATGTGCCTTCAATAAAGTTCTCGCTCACATTGTAGCAATGTGTGACACAAATATGCCATTTATAGGACTTCGGATGGAGGTAAGTTACAGATGTTTTCAACTGGTTTGGTTAGATCGGTAATCAGTCAATCCCTTTTAATCAGCAACTTTATAAGAATTTCAGAAGAAGGGAGAAAGGTTGCTTGTCCATGAGAGTGCTAAGAGGACGTGCTTCATATTTGGGACTGTGCTTCCTGTTCCTGTTGTGTCTGCTGCATGCAGCATGGAATTGACCAGAGTGCAAAGAATTTACTGAAGCTGTGAACTATCATGAGCCAAGAGACACTGTGTGCTGAAGAACTGCTAAACTGTTTTCTAAACCACAGTGATATGTACTATTATAAATATCAATTAGTGGTTAACATTTAATCAGTTTGGTTGGTCATGATCTCACTGAAAAGCCTTGTAACTTGGCAAATAAAGAATTTGTGGCATTATCTGAGAATACTTTGAGTGAAAGCATCTGGAAGTATTATAAAGAAGGGAGAAGACCTGTCCAACATTGGGAATAAAGTTCCTCATTGGCAAAGGAAGGATTTGGCAAGTGGATGTAAAATAGACTTTCTCCACACTAACCTGACATTTCTGGGAATGAGTTTGTGGGAGCACAGATCTTTACTTCTGTCTGTAAAATGACATAGGGTATTTGCTGTCTGCAAGGCTAACCACAGGCCCTTATCCCTTTGCACTCTCTTTGAATGGCCAGTTTTTTCCAGCATGTCGCTTCAGGTGAGTCGTCATTGGTTAACTGCATTGTCCTGAGTGAAGGCTGCTGCATCATAATAATGAAAATATGGTATAGGAAATGCTAATTTTTAGTAGCTGTGGTATGTGTCAGTTACTCTCATTTTATGGGGTTGTGTATGATTGATCTAAGAATTATGGCACACACCCACAACAAGCATGATGAAGCCTTCGGGGAGGGCGGGATACAAATCTAAAGAATAAATAAATAAAATTTAGTAAAATAATAGTTTTATGAGCAGAAACTGACTTTATCTTGTGCAGAAGAAGGTAGCCTTTTTACTTTCTGGAGAAACAGGATTTGCCACTGCCTAACTGGATTTTTACTATCCTGCAGTATTTAATTATCTAGAAGACTTATATGTCTTGTGTAACAACAATAACACAAAATCAAGCATACAATAAAACAAATCATAACAATAAAATATATCAAACAAAAATATATCAACAATTAAAAATATACCAGTAAAAACATCCAATACAAGCAAGCCAGAGCAAAAAGCACAAAACTCAGCAGTCTAAAATGGTATTGATAAAACAGTCATCAGGCTGAGGCAGACAATACCAACAGCTTAAAAAGAAGAAACCCCTTAGTTCAAGCCTGTGTAAAAAAGAATGTTTTAGCCTGGTGCTTAAAGGAGAATAAAGCAGGTACTAAATGAGCCTCAAGGGGGAGGGGACAGCATTTCAAACACGAGGTGCTACCTTTGCCGTGTCTCAGGTCACCCCCACCTTTTACCTCTGTAGGTGGGGGCGCAGAGAGCAGGGCTTGAGAAGAGGATTGCACCATTAGTACTCACTAAGTACCAGTTGTAGCTAGATAGTATTTAGGAAAGACCTTTATTTTGCTATGAGATTTTTTAAAAATCCAGGCTCTTGTGTGTGTGGTTTTTCTTTCCCAGTTATCCAGTATGGAGATTCCACATCAAGGACTCCAAGTTGAAGGAGATGGCTTCAGTCATGCTATTCGTTTGTTAAAGTAAGAAGATTATTCTAAGTTTTCATTAATATAAGGGAAGTATTCCATGAGTGATGGAAGGGGTGAATATGTAACATATTATAAAATTAAAACTTTGAAACTGTTTTTAAACAAAGATATTGTGTATCCCTGAGCAAAGTTTTGGCATTCATTTGCATAATGAGTTTAGTGAAGGTATGTTGTTAAGGAGTAGGACTCTGGGTGAACTGGGAAGTCAAAATGGCCTTGTTACCATGGCCGCCCTCATTTGATGGTGAACTGAAAAGACACTGGAGAGAGAGGTGCCACTGGTATGTTTTTCCATGCCAGCCAAAATGCACTCAGTTCAGCCCAGGGCTGTTCCTTGGTGGCCACGCCACGGGGGGTGGGGGGCTGGGACAGGCCTCAAGGCAGAAACACAGCAGGATTTTGCCTGGTACCTAGCCAAATCTACCCCAGTAGGAGTTGTCAAAAGAGACTAACAATATTACATTAACTAAGGAAATTCTTCTATGATACATTTTAAAAGTCATTATTGTGCATGTTCCCAGAAACTAATTTTGTTTAGTAGGCCTCCAGCTTTTCTGCGTAGAAGGAACTCTGCTGTGTCAGTGTTCTGTATACCACCATATGTAGTTAGCACTAAAGAAATGTTCAGTGATCTGTTTTCAGAACTCTGTATTGAACTAAAATCTGAATTAATGACCAACTTTGCATATTACTGTCAGTGCTCTATATAAGACCATAAATACATTGTTCAGGCACAATGGAAATGGAATGTGAAAATCTAAATCCAATTCTTTCTGAAATGTCATGGTTTCTGACTCCTTTTTGCTTAAAGGATTGTGAACCTGAAGCCAGGATGCTGCTTCCTGTGCAAACCTTAAGTGCTACCATATCTCCCAGAGCTTCCTCAGACCTTTATTACCTAAGAACCTGTGTTCTGAAACTGTAACAAATGATGTTCATTATTTGAATAAAGGCCAATGTGCTGACTCAACATAACTTAGGCCAGGGGTGTTGATCTCATTTGTTATGAGGGCCAGATCTGACATAAATGAGACCTTGTTGGGCCGGGCCAAGTGTGTCATAAAATGTATTGCCAGGTAGCGGAGATATAAACTTTATAAAGGACACAGACAAACACAAAGATTTTTTAAACTTTATGTAAAGCATGCTTAAAACACTAGCACTCTTGCAATATTTTGTCTATTTAAGTCTCTGATAACTGATGCCTCTTGCTCTGAATTATTGCATCAAAATGTCTGTGCTGTAGCAATCTTGAGTATGCTGTTTAGGTATGTATCTGTAAGCTGCAAACCTATTTTAGATTTATTGACATTCATTACAGAAATCCCATGCTCAGTGTTCTGAGCTAGAACCCAGGGAAAAACATGAAATGGCTGGGCACTACAACCTTTTGTACATAAGTTGCTTCATGTGCTGGTCAAGACCATGAAAAGCATCCTGACACTCTCTGAGGACCATGTATTTGTCTACAAAACTATAGTCTTCCCCAGAGAAATAACAGCAACTTCCTACTAAGGAAATGTGCTGGGTGAATTTGGTCTGGACACACACTCTCAGCCTAATCCACCTCACTGGCTTGTTGTTATTCCTCCTCTAAAATAGTTTACATTGCTTTCTTACTGAGAAAGACTGGATCATGAGGGCATGAATACAGTGAAAAGGGAGAGGGAACAAAGCTGCACCCAGGAGAGCGCTGGCATAAAGAGCCCAACAAATACCCACACACACGGTAGCAAGGCACACAAAAGTTCATACCTTGAACAAAATTTTGTTGGTCTTAAAGGTGCTTGGTATTTCTCTCCTGCGATTGAGGCAACAAAGCAAGCTTTCCCTCATTCCCTCCCTCCCTTCAGGGAGGAGCCTCAGCCAGTGGAAGGAAAGAAAGGCTTCCCTTCATCTCCTGTGGTCGGGAGGATGGGATAGAAATCTAATAAATCAAATCAGCCTGGCTAGGAAGCAAGCTCTGGCTGTTCCCTCCCTCCCCCTGGGAGGAGGAGGGGGAGGATCCTCAGCCAGTTTTTTACCAGACTCTGTCAATCACACAGGCTTGCCTATCTATCTCTCCTGTGCAACTGAGAGAGACTGGTAAAGCAAGCTGTGACGTGGCAGCAGCAGCAAAACTAGAAAAGGAAGCAGGAAACAGCAAGGGGTTGTGGACTGGATTGGGGTCCTCTGAGGGCCTGATCTGGCCCACAGGCTGCATGTTTGACACTCTTGAACTTAGGCTGTTTGAATCTGTCGCCAGATCTTGCAGAGCTTAAATTTTAACTGAGAATGAAGTTGATACTTAAAGGGAATTCGGTAATGGGGTATTATATTAATCTGAACAGTTTCTCTGCTCTGTCTCCTAATTCTTGATTAGCTTTTATCAGTCAAAAAGCCCGTGATGCGCATCATAGCCACATTACAATATTCTACTTTGTTTTAGTCACTAGGCTTAATGTCAGGTCCCTCTTTCTACAGTGATACGTTTCATTAATTGGAAGAGGGCACATGTCAGCCTTTAATATTTTCTCAGCTCCTTTCAATTTTCCCCCCAAGGACATTTCATTGTAAAAGTGAAGTATCTATCTGAAAATGTTGAATGTAAGATGCTGAGTGGTGCAACCATGAGACTGATATGGTGGTGTTAAGCCTTCCTCTTGTTCAACAGAATTCCACCGTGTAAAGGTACAAGTGAGGAAACGCAGAAGGCTTTGGACCGTTGCCTTCTTGATTGCACTTTCCGATTGCAAGGCAGAAATAATCGCACATGGGTGGCTGAACTAGTATTTGCAAATTGTCCACTAGTTAGCACCTCTTCTAGGGAGCAAGGTTAGTTTCACCATTCTCTTGCACATTTCCCGCTTCATGCTTACCTCTTTTGTATGACAGAATAACATGACCACCCTGTTTAAACTTTTAGGCCCAACTCGCCATGTTTATCTGACATATGAAAGCCAATTGTCTGAACCAGTTGGTGGCCGAAAAGTAGTTGAAATGTTCCTCAATGACTGGAACAGCATTGCTCGATTATATGAATGTGTGTTGGAGTTTGCACGGTCCTTGCCAGGTATGAAGATGTTTTCCTTTATTCTTGTATTTTTTTGTATATACTCTACTAAAACAATTGACCTTTTTCCCATTTACCTCTCCCCCCAAATTCTTTTCACCTGTGAAGAAATACCCAGCCACCTAAATATTTTCTCAGAGGTCCGTATCTACAATTACCGGAAATTAATTCTTTGTTATGGAACTACGAAGGGAAGTTCTGTAAGTACTACTTTAGCTATGAATGTGTCCCAGGTAGTTATGTTTTGTGCTGTTTCTATGCTACGGTTCCTTACTAGAAGTGATCGTTCACATTTTTTTCTATTTCCCCCTAATTGCACTGGGCAATGAAGAGCTATATGAAATCACCTTGTAAATTGTTGTCTTCATGGAAAATTGTTTGCAAAAGGATGCTGTAGCCCTAACACTAGGGTATTTGCATTCGTTGGTTAACCTGTTAAGCTGTTACGTTGATGCTGGAGCAGAAGCAGTTGAAAAGAGGTTGTGCCTTTGATATCTTAGGGTTCATACGTATGTGATGCTGTCCCAAAACATGCTACAAATAATGGGACTTCATATTGATTTACACTGAAAAGGACTGGAGTAAAGGAATTGAATCTTGTGCTGATAGAAAAATATAGGTTTGCATTGTACTGATGTCCTCCTGGCTGAAGAGGGAGGAGGGGTCATCTTGCTCCATTCCCCTCCTCACTGGAGTTCCCTAACTCACATGGCTTTTTGCCTACAAAGGTCTCCTGACTCCTCACTGGTGCCTTTTCAGAGGTCATAGAAGGTTGCTGTGAAAAGGGAAAGAAGGGAAGCGAAGGAGAGATTCCACCAGCAGAACATTTGTAAGATACAACCCTGCTGTTCTTTGGTTCAGGTCCCATTTTTAGTATTTACTAAAAGTTACAGCCAAAGTAGTGTTTCCACAAACCAGAAGTATAAACAGGTAAAGGAAAAGCATAAGCATCTCTTCCTTGGTTGTACTTGACAACGTTCCTTTTGAAATCAGTGTGCAGTGGGGAAGTACAGTCAGAGGCTTGTCTGGCTTCTGGGTGTGATATATGCCCCACCCTATTTCAGTACACAGGGCTTGTCAGCAGCAGAAGGGTGGGAGAGGAGAATCCTCCTCTGCCTGAGATGCCACTAGATTGTGGAGCAATGTTAATTAATTGTACTGTCCATTCCTTTCTGGATTTCAAGCAGCCCCAGGTGGCAGAGGCATTTTGCTCTCTCTGGTCCTTGGTTTCTCAGAATATTCAGTAACTAAAAAGGTGGGATAATCAAACCTATCAGTATATGCAATAAGACAGACTGGTTAATCATACTTGTGGGATGAGTGTTAGATGGGCAAGATATGCTTTGATAGTTATGGTAAGGAGCACAGAGACCTGTGAGGAGCAGAGTATGGGAAAAGATACACTCCTCTGAATAGACAGCACCATTTACAGCCTAAAGGGAAAACATGCTAACTCTTTGTGTTAATACGTCTTGATTGGAGAGTCTGCATTCTGGTGGGCTTTGGCGCCCAGGACATGGCACTGAGGTTGGCTAAGGCCCTAGGAATCCACATGGGGAGAGGTTTGTTCCTTTGTTTGGGGTCTTTTGTAGGATATTGTCATTGCATTTTTGGTTGTTGTTGAGAGCAACATAATCATGTGTATGTTTGCAATAAGGGATGATAGACAGGAAGGATGCTTTTAGGTGCAACTGGTGTGGGGCACCATGCAGCCTGAAAAGGCCAGATTCTCCAAGGATTGTTAAGTAATGAGCCAGTAACTTTATTTTGCTAGCTGTACCTAGAACCTGTCTATTCCATTTGTACCTAGAACCTGGCCATTCTGAATTTGTGCCTTGTAGAAATGACATTGTTTAACTAAAGAGTCTGTACAGTTCCTTATTCGCTGCCTTGCCACTTGCACACTAAAGAAATACACCCCTGTTGTGTCGCCCTTGGGTGACACCAGGAGAAAGGTGGGCACATTTTTACCTGGGGTGGAAGCATGCTATCAGAAAGGAGGGGCAAGAAGCAAGTTTTGGCCCTAGCTTCTTGACTGGGCTGTGACCTGGAAGGGGAAAGCAGGGGAGAAAGTATTCTTGCATTCATGGGGCAGTAGGGTGGTCCCACCACAATAATGTTATCACTTAAAATATTCTACTAAATCGATTTCTTCAAAATGTATCCTTTTTTGTTTTATCATTATTGTGTTTTCTAGGTATTCTTAGTTCAGAATTTCTTTTAAAATTGTGTTTATATATGAAATGTTATGAAAAGAATTGTTTTCTTTAGATTTGTATTTCTAAACTCTTCTTTATATTTACAGATCAGCATACAGTGGAATTCTGTTCATCAGAAATTCCACATATCACTGGGAACAGTTGGACCAAACTCAGGATGTAGTAACTGTCATAATACTATCCTGCATCAACTCCAGGAAATGTTCAATAAATCACCAAATGTAGTCCAACTATTACAAGTTTGTATGTATCCCCCCCCCGGAAAATTTATCTGCTGCCTTTCCAGAGACAGCTCACAAAGTAACAAATATAGTAACAAACAACAAAACTTATCAAAATTAAAACAAATATAAAGCAAGACACAAAAACAACATGAAGAAGCCTAAAATGATATCTATAAAGCAACCCTTGTGCTAGAACCATTTTAAAATAAACCCTCTAATGAAGATGGAATGTTTCAGTTGGAATCCTGGGTAAAGAAAAAATGTTTTAGCCTGTCTAAAGGACAGTTAAATAGGTGCCAGGCAAGCTTCAACTGACACTTTGAATTGTACCCAGAAACTAAGTCTTTTTTTTTTCCCAGAGGAGAGAGTCTTAATGGCTTGCTTTACATATAAAACCAAAACATAATATAATGCAGTATGAATTTTCCTGGAGGGAACCTCAGTTTTATTTTTGCCAAGCCAAAGTTAGCTGTTGCATCTGAATTCACAAGCTATGAAAAGAAGAGAAAAGATTGGATTTATACCCTGCCCTTCACTTGGAGTCTCAGAGCAGCTTACAAACTCGTTTCCCTTCCCCTCCCCACAACAGACACCCTGTGAGAGAGCTCTTTCCAGAACTGTCCTTGAGAGAACAGCTCTGACAGAACTATGGCTTGCCCAGTCACCCAGCAGCTGTAAGTGGAGGAGTGGGGGATCAAACCTGGTTCTCCCAGATTAGAGTCTGCGCACTTAACCACTACACCAGACTGCAAACCAGGATCGTAAACAACGGTCTGTTCCCAGTTTGGAGTCTTAGTTATGTAAGCCTGAAATATAGTTTGCCAGTTTGGAAGTTATGGTGCATTGTGTGCCAAAACACAGGAAGTATCTAGTTGACTCATAGTGTGCTAGAGGAGAGGGAACTGAATGAGATTGAGATTTTTCCCAGGAGTATTCATACATCAGTGCCAAAAACATGGTTTACCCATTATTATATCATTACATCATGCCACTGAAATACAAAAACAACAAAAGAACAGATTCGGTTATTCTAGCTGTTTTGTATCTTTTTGCCAAGAGGCCACTATGAGATGTGGGGCTGCAAAGGAGAAATCTTCTGCTGTTAATAGGTTGCTTTTGATCCAAAATCCCTCAGTAGGAAAACGAATGATATGAGTATTAATAAATGACCTAGTGGAGTATTATTGGAGATAAAAATAGTTTTAAAGCTGCATTTACAATGGCTGTGTGTGTCTGAAGGCTCAGTAATTGTGGTTGGCTGTTGTGAAACTAAACAACTTCTGTATTCACTTGCAGGTTTTATATGATACTCAGGCTCCGTTAAATGCTATCAATAAGCTCCCAACTGTGCCAATGCTGGGATTGACGCAACGCACCAACACTGCCTACCAGTGTTTCTCAATTCTGCCTCAGTCACCCACGCACATTAGGCTGGCCTTTAGGAACATGTACTGCATTGACATTTACTGCCAGAGCCGTGGGGTTGTCGCAATTCGTGATGGTGCATATAGTCTTTTTGACAACAGCAAAATTGTTGAAGGGTTTTATCCTGCCCCTGGTCTAAAGGTGACTATTCTTTGTATCTGCATTCTACTGTATAATTAAGGAGGGCTGTAGGTGGGCTCCCACTGGTATTTAAAAAAAAAAAAATTGCTTAAAAGGAAAAGCCCATTGAAACAGGATTGCTTCACTGTTGGTCTGTTCAATCACATTTGAATTTTAGACTTCTTAGTTTGTTGCTGAGGAAATCAGTCACTTCTGAGGACGCAATAATGTCCCTTAAGAGTGTCTATCTGTGCTTGCATACCTTGGAACACTGCACCAGATTACATGAGTGTTCAGTGCCAATAGAGGAGTCAGTAATAGAGCACATGATTTGCATGCCTGAAATCCAAGGGTCAGTCTCCAGCCTTTATAGTTTAAAGAAGCTCAGTTGGCTGGACTAGGAAGAATTGCCAATAGAGTAGACTGTACTGGCCTAGATAAACTAATGTTCTAACTCTGTTGTAAAGTAGCTTTACATTTCTTGTCAGTAGAGATCAACTAATGAATTAATGGCTCTGTCAATGTAAATTTGCCTTTTTAAAGTTTATCTGGATTCTTCCCCTCCATCCTGAATATTTGCAGTACTTCATTTTTAAACTGTGGTACACTATTCTGTGCTTACATTGGATATTACTTGAATAAAAGATGCAGGCCTTGTAGAAACACTGAAATCATGAATTTTGGATAATGCCATTGATTTTTATCAAAATGACCTTTTTTGGTAGCTTAGCTTATTTTTCAATATAAAGAATTTGCTACTTCCAAAGTATGCCTATCTCCCAACCACAGGAATTCTCAAATTTGGCTGGCCTTAATAGTTAGGCCAAATTTGTGGTTGCCACCAAACTTGAGCTGCTAACAAGGGGACATAATTCCAGAGACCCTGATTACTATGGGACTCCTAGGAGGTGGGCAAAGCATATGATTTGTTTTTGTATGCTGTTCAGCTTAGCTCTGGGTAGTGTAAGCAGGGCAGGAAGGGAATTTTTATCCAGGGCCCCATATAGGCACCCAATGACCTGAAATCCTACCCTTGGTGTCTGAATGGCAGTGTACCTTGCTGTGGCCTTGCTGTACTCCCAAGTACCTTTGAAGTTCAGTACAGCTACAAAGATGAGCCACTTTGCAGAGGAAGGGGGTGAAGAGGGAGAATATCTGTATTTTTTGCTTACCTTTGGATGCACAGAGAAGCAATGAGTGTATTAATTATCCTTCCTTCTGAAGTCCTACAATAGATCAGGGAGGAACCCCTGTCTATCTGTAACTTGGGGAGTTAGACAGGTTACCACAAATGTACTTGCCAGAAGAAAAGTTATGCTCAGTGTTGGCAAACTGGCAAGAACATGCTTCTGATTCTATTGTGCTATAAAATTTGGTATGCTTATATTTTTCATCTTAGGAAACATACAGAGATGTAGAAATAATGTTTTATCTGATAATGTTCCAGCATTTTAACTGTGTTTTAATTTATTGTTGTTTATACTATATGTTTATATAGGTTTTAATTGTATTTCTATGAAATGTTGTGAAAGCCGCCCTGAGCCCACATTCGCGGGGAGGGCAGGGTATAAATTGAATAAATAAATAAATAAATAAAATATTGCTTTAGCATAGCTAAAAAGTTAATATGGTTTTGTAGTTCTAGTACATTCATTCTGTATATCTAATGGGAATGTGTATTGATCTGAATAATCCCTGTGCAGACATTCCTGAACATGTTTGTGGACAGCAATCAGGATGCACGAAGACGATCTGTCAATGAAGATGATAATCCACCATCTCCTATTGGAGGGGACATGATGGATTCATTGATATCACAGCTTCAGCCTCAACAGCAGGTTGTATCTATATGTACATTCATAAATGCTCACACTGCAAATGTAAGCTAAACAGTTATGATTATGGCAAATGTATGCTTTCTCTATTCTGGAGTATTGACAGCAACAAAGTAATAATGCAAGAGCAGGGCCATATGGGAGCTTTCTGTATTTCAGTGTGTGCAGTAGGAGTTAATGTGCAAGCTGCCACCCTTAACTGCTGTCTCAAAGCAGTGTATTAGAGACAAAGAATAAAAAGCAGCAATGGCTCTCAGAAGCAGAGGCCCAGACAAGAGTTTGAGGGCTGTTTTAGAGATATGGATATGAAGATAATTATCCATGATTAGGGGTGAAAAAGGAAATGTTATTCCCTAGAAATGGGAATGCATATGAAGTGATTGTTAAGGACTACTTGCTGTGCCCAGTTGATCAGAAATGTTTTGGGAAAATCAGATGCCTCTCCAAATACTAGCTTCTAAAGGAGTAATATTGTTAAAATATATGTTTTACTATGCCTAATAGTAACTTTGTTTCAGCAATCTTCAAAACAGACAGGAGCACCAGGGCCTTACCCTTTGACATCACCCCCCACATCTTACCACAGTACAGTCACCCCATCGCCCTCAATGATGCTCACACAGTCTCCAGGTAAAATTCCTTTCCATATTGGCGACAGAAGTTAAAGCCATTCAGCATTCTTATGGTACTTCATAAATATGATTTTGTGTGACAAAAATTAGCTGTGTTTTCATATAAACTGTATCAGGTTACTTAAAAAAAAGAATTTTCTTCAAGCTCTGAGAACAGTAATTAGAAAATACAAGTGGGGGAACTTCCAAGGGTTCTCACCATTTTCTGCTGTTCTGTTTTTCTTCCCTTCTCTTCACAGCCTGCATGGCTTCTTTCCTTTTCCTGCTTCCTTCCACCCTACTGTTTATCTTTTTTGATTCTCCTGCACCCAAGCTTTCACTGTCCCTCCTCACCCTCTTTCCTTGCCTCCTGGTTGGGAACATGGACTGTGGGTCAGCATTTTGGATTGCTGCAGCACTTTAAAATACTACTGAAGTGTTGTATTTTTCCTGCAGTGCCATCTCTTTTTACTTTTTATGGGGTTTTAACAGGCCCGTAGCCAGGATTTTGTCATTCAGGGGGCCTTTAAATAAGTCTGGGGGCACTGATGTCACAAAATAAGAAATAAAATAAAAATTTAAAAACTCACTTTTGCAGCATTCACACTCTGCTTGCCTACATGGGGAAGCAAGCCACTCTTGGGGAAGGGGTGGTGGTGGGGAGTCCTCCAGGTGGCCCAGAGAGCTGGGGGCCTGGGGGCTGGATGGAAGTCAGGGGGCCGTGGCAGGAATTCAGGGGGCCAGGCCCCGAAATACCCCACTGTAGCTATGGGCCTGGACTTTAGCCTCCTCCCCTTTCAATTTTTGCAAACCTTAGGGGTTCTACCATGTTTGAAGAAACATCTTTCCTACCACTATGCGGATACATTGTGTGATTTTCTTTAATTTGCACAGTGGGGTCAATTTGGGAATTAGACTCATGAAACACTAAGATACATACACATAAATTAGATATATAAATACTCATTGCTGTTTTTAATGTCATGTTTAGGAACACTTCATGCTGCAAACTCTCCAAGTGGTGCTTTAAGAGCACCATCACCGGCATCATTTGGCCCAACACCTTCTCCTTCATCTCTTGGAATCACAATGGGACAAAGTGCAAACTTTACCAGCCCACATGGTAATAAGTCTGTGACCAATACTGATCGAAACTTTAGAAATCACTACACTGACTGTTCTTTTCTGTCTCTGGGAAAGGTTACTGTTCTGTTCTTGATTTGGATGCAGATTTTGAAGTAGTAGCAACCAGTTTTCCAGCATACCTTTCTCCATATTCATACATAGTTAGGCCCTGCTGCTTCAGAACACCATCTTAGCTGAAGCTCTTTCCTAGGGGGATGGTCTCCACAATATTTTGGCTTTCCAACTGCTGGGTCTGTTGCTAAATGTTCAGGCTTTAGTAATGCCAGTTCCTTCCAAGATAGTGTCTTCACATAGAGAGCAAAGGACTTTTTGGCTTCCTGTAGGAAAGGTGCAATCATTCATTCTCTGTAGTAAGAGTGTTTCCCCCCAGACCTGAGCGGCTTTTGCAGTACCAAATTAAGCTTCCTCTCTTTTCAAAATATTTTTCAAAACATTCTGAAGGTCAAAATTTCTTTGCAACATTCTTAAAAGCTAGAATTGTAGCATTCTTAGACAAATTAGAAATACAGGCTTGTACAGTAGTTAATTTTCTCTAGAATAATAGATGCTGTTGACTTTCCCTTAGGGTTTTGCCAACCAGTTGTAAACCAAGAAAGCTGCTGCTAATTATTTCATTGGTCCCCTAATAATTCTGTACAACCCCACTCAAATCTGTAGTAAGCCTTGTGATAATATGACACTTTCTACAAAGTTACTTTTAAATATCGGTTCCTTTATCATGTAATATGGAATAAATTTGTCATATATTACTTTCAGGGTTAGCAATTCTAGTACTGGATTACATCTAAGGCTTCTGTAGACAGTGAATTTGGAAGCAGTTTTTAGCACTGTCTCTTGAATACACTCCCTTCAAAAAGCTGCTGCTGACCACGTGGCACGTGGGGCAGTGGGACAGCAGCAACATGAAAAAAACCCAATTTCTCTCCCATTTGTATGTGAGCTTTTGCTCCATTCATATACAAGAAAGGGGAGTGCTTTCATTCCCAGTTACTGATTCTCTCACTTAAAAACTTAGCAGGGCTATACAACCTGTTTCTGATTAACATACTTAAAATTTGGGATAAATGGTGCTCCATATTAGCATTTGACATCTTCCCCAATACAAACCTTTTTAGGCCAAAAAATATTCATGCCTGGCATGACACAAAAACCATACGAATCATGGAAACTACATGAGTTTCATTAGCATTCATGGAGTTTTACTAGCAAAGCAAGCCCTGCAAGAAGCTCCAGACTTGACGATTTCATGTTTTTCATATTTTCAATTTAGCATCTGTTCAACACCACACATTTTGAGAAACAAAGCAATAGGGATTTAACTGATGTTAAGATGTGCATGTTCTGCATGGGGGAAAAAGGGCTTTTTTGGGATTTGGGTCCATTGGACCCGAAAAATATCGGTATTTGCCAGTATACCCGAATCCCAGTATCGGTATGATAATTTATTCAGCATTTAAAATTACCTTCTCCCTTCACTTGCGGAGGTGTGCCAAGGCGTCAGCACAACCCAGGGAGTGAAGGGAAGTCACTTAAAAATGCCTTCCCATCACTCGTGGAGGCGTGCCGCTGCAGCAGCATGCCTCCACAAATGAAGGAAAGTTAAATGCCTTCTCCCTTTACTCGTGGAGGCATGCCGCCATGGCAGCACGACTTGGGGAGTGAAGGAAAGTCATTTAAAAATGCCTTCCCTTCACTGGTGGAGTTGCGTTGCTGCAGCACGCACCTCCATGAGTGAAGGGAAATTAAATGCCTTCCCTTCACTCGCAGAGTTGTGCCGCCACTGTGGCATGCTTCCACAGTGGTGGCAGCACAACTTGGCGATATAGCTAGCCGAAAAAAAGCCAAGTAATATCAGCTTTTATTCAGGTCAGCTATATCGGTAGTCAGATCAGGTTGTCTAATCTGCATTCGGCTGAATAAATACCCTAAAAATACCAATCAGGTATTTTTCGGATATTTATTATGTTCAGTTTATACTGAATGCACACCCCTGTGGATAATATAGTCCCTTGTCATATTTTACAAAAATGATCTCTACCCTCTACCAGTTTTTATGTTCCTACAGATGGCAAAATCTACCTGTATGTATAGGAATACATATAAATGGGAACAGGATGTAGGCATAACCACAGAACCTAAAATATTATCTTACCTTTAGATGAGTTTTTATGTTCCTACAGATGGCAAAATCTACCTGTATGTATAGGAATACATATAAATGGGAACAGGATGTAGGCATAACCACAGAACCTAAAATATTATCTTACCTTTAGTCAGGCCTGCTTTCTACACATACTAACATGAGAGATGTTTTATATGTTTATGTCCCAATGTGTTACACCAGAGTTATCTTATACCAGTGAAACTACAGCACAGTTATAAATCATCCTTGGCATTTTACTAGAGAAGATGTGAAAATAATGGTGCTCACTATCATATCTGGTGGCAAGGTAGAAAAGTAAAACCCTTTGGGGCTTTATATAAATAACACATTAGAAAAGTTACAGGATGTTCCACTCCATTATAGGCAAGGACAATAATTCTAGGGTATATTGAAAATAACCCAATACCACCAATCAGGAAGGAATTAATAAGTGTATTTAAAAATAAATTTAGTGTTGATAGCAGCCAAAATATAAATTGCACATGGGTGGAAGAAAGGAAAACTTCCAACTGTGACAGCTTGATACAATAAAATCTGTAATATTCTGATAGCAAATAAAATATTTTCACATATCTAAGTAATGGAAAGTCTTGACTATCTATGTACGTTTAATGAGAAATGGTTTCCTGTCCTAGTTCAGTATTAGATCTGATAAATATAAAGAGAAACTCAGTTTAAGAAATACGTCAGATAACAGAAATGACTCAGTTTAATTTTAGTAAGGTAAAGGTAAAGGTTCCCTTGCTCGAAAGCCAGTCAAGTCCGACTCTAGGGTTGCGGTGCTCATCTCCGTTTCAAAGCCGAAGAGCCAGCGCTGTCAGAAGACGTTTCCGTGGTCATATGGCCGGCATGACTAAACACCAAGGCGCACAGAACGCTGTTACCTTCCCACCAAAGTGGTACCTATTTATCTACTTGCAATTTCTTGCTTTCGAACTGCTAGGTTGGCAGGAGCTGGAACTAGAGACGGGAGCTCACTCTGTCATGCGGCACCCTGGGTCTCGAACTGCTGAACTACTGACCTTCCACAGCCTGCAGTTCAGCACTGTACACTGATATAATAATTTATAGATACCACTTGTTAACCTGGTACTCAGAACCCACACCATATTTACAAGTGTTGGATATTGTATACCTGCGTAACATGCCTCTGTTACTCTCACTGGATTTATCTGCAGCCTTTGATACAGTAGATCATGCTGTCTTGTCGAGGTGCTTAGATGCAAGAGTGGGTATCAGGGAATGTGCATTGTTATTGGAAACCTACTTCCTGGCAGAGTAGGTCAGGAAGGCTCCTACTCTCCTTGCTTTCCACAAACTATGCAAAAGTGAATTATTCAAGAGAGCTTCTTTGCACAGATAATAAGGTTACACTGAACAAGGCTAAAACCTATTACTAGAAGGAGTGTTCCTAGGCCTTTAACACTTGAGTGACAGATTTAAAAAATCATCGTCTCCACTCAGTGAAAAGATTCAGCTGTTGAATGTTTGCTTGTCTTGTAGTTGTCAAAGGTTCGGGATCCTTGCTGGGTGGGAAAAAGCTGTCAATCCTAGATGTGATGTACCTCAAGCGTAAATTAAAATTAACAAACAAGTGCATATAAAGCATGCATGATGGCACTGAGCTATGGCCCCAATTCCCCAGCCCTCAGTGCGGATCTGTGGGAGAACTGAACCCCAAGACTTCTCACCTTCAAACTGAGAATTGTGTCCCTAGTCCAGCAAGCTCATCCTCATTTGCAAGAACAACATTTCAGTCGTTTCTAAAATTATTAGGGCGTATTCAGTGTGTTCCTTCAGATTTTAGCTAGGCAATATAATAACAAAAGCTAAAGGCTATGGATCTGCTCAAGATGGGTATCCGTGTTTGTCTGTAGCAGCAGAAAAGAGCAAGAGTCCAGTAGCACCTTAAAAACTAACAAAATTTATGGCAGGGTATGAGCTTTCGTGAGTGAGGAGTGACTCACGAAAGCTCATACCCTGCCACAAATTTTATGAGTCTTTAAGATGATACTGGACTCTTGCTCTTTTCTACTGCGATGGATCTGGGTCATCTTCCTCTTTGACATGGAACTTCCTAGTACTTCTTCAACTGGAGGCAACAGTTTTCAAACTTCTTCTTGTTTCTCTTAGGCACAATAGATCCTAGTTCACCGTATACCATGATGTCTCCCAGTCAACGTGCAGGAAATTGGCCAGGCTCACCTCAAGTGTCTGGTCCCTCTCCAGCAACAACACGTATGACTGGAATGTCACCAGCCAACCCTTCCTTACATTCGCCAGTACCAGATGCTTCTCATTCCCCACGGGCTGGAACAAGTGAGCAATATTGGCAGGGTGTGTGTGTGTGTGTGTGTGTGTGTGTGTGGGTGTTTGTACAGAAAGTTAAAATCATTCACCAATATAGGTAGTGGATGTTCAGCTCCTTCTTCAGTATTTTACTGAAGACACACATGCCAATTTACTTTTTAAAAGTAGGCAAAAGAACTAAATCCAAGTGCAATTATCAGTCCTCTTACTGTAATATCGGTGGTGCTGAGTATTCCAGGCTGAATGTATTCAGTTATTTAAGTTCTGGAATAATATTTGAGTAATGGTCATTGTTGAGCTGATCCGGGTAAATCCTGTCAGGCATCATGGGGGATTGGTTCCGGTCATTGCTCCCTCTAAGCTGTGGAGTCTTGTGAGCAAAAATTCTACTTTGTGAGCTGCTGGCATTAAAGTTGTGAACAAGCGATTTGCTACTGCATAAGTTAGTTTGTTCTGGAGCTATCCTTCCTGAGCTAAGACAAAAAATGTGTGAGCCAGAGGCTAAAAAACTGTGAGCTAGCTCACACTAACTCAGCTTAGAGGGAACATTGGTTCCGGTAGCCATTTCTAGGTCTTCAAAATGTCAGAGTATTCCAAAAATCTTCCAGTATCCTTTCCTACACACAAAAATGACATGCCAAGCTAATGCATCTTGGTGGACAATTAGTTAGTAATTGTCCACCTGTATATAAAGGACTTATGTTCTATGCAATTGGATGATACCTCTTGTTGGGACAGCTGGATCTTGGCCTGATTTCAAGCTAGGTGAAGGCAAGGGCAAGTCTGGGGCAAGTGTTCTTGATGCTGGGGGGGGGCAACAGTGGGAGGGATTCTAGTGTCCTGGCCCCACTGATGGACCTCCTAATGGCACCTGGTATTTTTGGCCACTGTGTGACAGAGTGTTGGTCTGGATGGGCCATTGGCCTGATCCAACAATGGCTTCTCTTATGTTCTATGTTCTTATGTTCTTAAGGGTGGTTGACAGAAGCAAGATGGTTGTCATGCTACTTTGTTCTACTGACATTAAACATATCCTAGCAGGGCAATTGTTCACATGCTCAGTGATTTGTTCCCTAGCAAAAGTGTAACTTTTAGACAGATTAGGAATTCAGGTATCAGTTCAAGCTATAGATGATAGTCTGAAAATAGGGAAGATCCATACTGATCACTCTCCCATTTTACATAGGAGGTGAACTACATTTTTAGTAGACCAAGTCACTTATGAAGCTGTTGGAGCTCTTTGTTAATCTTTAAACTCCTAGAAGGTGGTAAGATTCTCAATCCCCTAATTGTGGTGGGTTGGATCCAAAAGATGCTGTTCTGTTGGGGTAACCACACTTCTGTTGGCAAAAGAGGAAATGATGACCCCACTTTCCCTCCTGTGTTGTTCCTGAGTGTCCCTTGACTCTCACAAGCAGAATTTTGAGGGGTTTAGTGAAATCCAGCAGGAGGGGAGAAGTGGGAGAAGTCCTGCCCCACCAGCTTCATTCTGTTGGTGATGCTTTAAGTCCAACCAGTGTCAAGAGTTTGGTAAATAACATTTGTTTGTTCAGCTGTAAAATGTCATTTTCTCTTGTACCGACCACAGCATTTTAAAAGTTGCTGATATGGCTTCTGGTTTTTGCTGTTAGGAGAATTTTCCAAAGAGAGTAAAAAAATGTAGTACACATAATGCAGCCAGGGTTGCAAATCTCATAGAGGGGAACAGCCATGTAAAACGAGAAGGCAAATTATAGTGCGAAATAAAACTGTAATTATAAAGATTAGAATATCCTTCCATTTACCCTGTGTGCACAGCACTTAAGAATTTACTCATTGTGGGCAACTCCGGGGGGGGGGGTGTCTTGTTATTTGTCCCTGTCCCAAGTCTTTCTGGAATTTCCCTAGCATTTTGATTGTATAAATAATCATGTACTCCTCAACAGGAATAGTAAGGTGTACTTATTTCTGCTAGGTTCCCAAGCAATGCCAACAAATATGCCACCACCTCGTAAACTACCTCACCGTTCTTGGGCTGCATCCATACCCACGATTCTCACTCATGGTGCCTTGAACATTCTGCTGCTGCCCTCTCCAACTCCTGGACTTATGCCAGGATTGGCTGGAAGCTATCTTTGCTCTCCACTTGAACGTTTCCTTGGATCAGTTATTATGAGAAGACATCTTCAGAGGATTATCCAGCAGGAAACGGTACCTAAATTGGTGTTGTATTATAGTATATTATATTAAAAACGTCAGACTAGGACAGGGGGGATTAGGGGAAACTTGGCCACAAAGAGTATGTTGTTTATGGTGGGGACAGTGTTTTAAAGAAGCAAACAGTCAGTGGAAATTTTACAAATCCATCCATTGTTCCTAACTTTAGGCAAATGAAATTTGTGTGTGTTTGGTGTTTTGGGATGGCAAAGAGGATCCTGGCTCAAACTATATGTCATCAAACACAAGAAATATTAGGATAATGTGTTGGCTCTGTTCAAAATTTAATGAGATGTAGGAAATGTTCCAATTGGATGCTTTTGCTTCTTCAACAGCTACTACTAATCAACTCCAATGAGCCTGGTGTGATAATGTTCAAGACAGATGCCTTGAAGTGTAGAGTTGCCCTGAACCCTAAGACCAACCAGACTTTGCAGTTAAAAGTAGCACCTGAAAATGCTGGGCAGTGGAAACAAGAGGAATTGCAAGTTTTGGAGAAATTCTTTGAAACCAGAGTATGTATTTCATTTTTAAGTAATTCATTATCAAATAATTGCTTGGTTTTCTTTAAATGTTGAGGGGATTGGTTATAGAAATTAGCAAAATTAATACAGAAAAATCCCAGATGCTGTTAGAGTAAAGTTCACGAGTCTGTGAACTTTCATTCATGTCTATGAGAATGGAGCAGAGGAAGTTCAGTAAGTTTCTTGAGCAGTTAGAAAGAGACACAGCAGAGGGCATGCCAGTGCAACAACTGACCATGACCTGTCAAGGCTGATGTTGGTGTCCCTAATGATCTGCCCCATCTTCCATTTTATCTCTCTACTTTGTATGTTACTGGACTGGAATGGGATGGGCCTGTGCTGCTTGGATCACTCATGAACTAGGTTACTACAGTATTTTCAGCATTGTTTCTACAAACATGAACATTAGACTCTTAAATTAAACCTCAGAGTTCCAGGATTTTGTGGGAACTGCCAAACACGTATCATCCTTGTACTCTTTATTTCAGTGGCATTAGGGTATGTGTGACAGACAGGAGGCTGTCATGCTCCTGAAGTGAAAAACAGCCTAAGGGAGTGCTGCTCCAGCATCCAGTCGCCTTTCAGAGGGAGAGATGGAATGCTGGAGGGAAGCGCAGCAGGAGTTTAGTTCAGGTCTACCTCAGAGAGTGCAGAAGTAGTGGAGTTCTGCCTCAGAGAGAAAGCAATGATAGCTGAGGTGTGGCTCAGGAAAAAAGTAGAGTGAAGGGTAGCTCTGCTTGGTAGTGTGTCAGAGTGGTTTAGCTCTATCTACATGAAAGAATAGAATACCCAAGTGTTAGGCCTTTCTCCGGTAATGAGCAGACCTTGTACCACTTAATCTGACTCTTGGGAAAGGGCAAACTGGCTTGGGTGGAATCCTGTATAGGTGACAGGATTCAACCTAGTGGCTAGTCAGTAAAAGCCTGTTTGTACCTGAAAGCATTAAAGAGAATTCAAACCACATTAAATGTATGCGCCTCTGCCAGGTGTTTCCTTTGACTATCTGGAGACCTGTGCTGCTGATCGGTTCTTTGAAACCAACCTGTAAATAAATACATCTTTGTTGTTTATATACAATTCCTGCCTCAGTGATCTCTGTATTCTACTTGTTCACCACAAAACTTACCTCATAGCAGCGAACCCAAACCCTGTACCCTTGCTACCTTTAGAACACCTGGCAACTGAGTGTAAGGATTATAGTTTAAAACAAACCCACAAAAATCATAGGAGGTTGTTTGTATCCCCTCAGTTGATAGAAAAGGCCTGTCACAGTATGCATTAAGAGAGTATCAGAGAATGACCAAACACTGCCATGGTCAGTTGTCAGAAGACCTTGTGATAACATTTTTTTTTTAAAGGTTGCTGGACCACCCTTCAAAGCCAACACTTTAATAGCCTTTACAAAGTTGTTAGGCGCACCTCCACATATTCTCCGGGACTGCGTACACATTATGAAGCTGGAGCTGGTAAGTTGATTTTATCTTACCGTATTTTTAAAAAAATGAAATGCAGACTGGTTTATTTATAGTAGACTAACATAATCTTTGGCGTGTTTTATTAAAACAGTTTCCTGATCAGGCAAGCCAGCTGAAATGGAATGTACAGTTCTGTCTGACAATTCCCCCAAGTGCTCCACCAATTGCACCTCCAGGAACACCTGCTGTTGTGCTGAAGTCCAAAATGTTGTTCTTTGTAAGTATAGCAGCTGATTCAGCTTGGATTGTTTCATGTTCGTTGCAGCTTGGACTGTATACAGTCATCTAAAAAGTACTGATTTTATATTTAGGCTAATGAAGCCAGACAATAGTTAACTCAATTTGCTCCTGTATTTTCAGTTTCTCTACTGTATCATGCAATATAGAATATAAAAATGGTATTAATATATTAGAGACAAAATGCGGAATTTATCAACAGACTCTCCGTAACTAAGTCTTCAGGTTTAAAGATATCCTAATTTCAGATTTGAATAACTACCCATTACCCCCAGCTTTGGATTTCCATCAAGCTAAGAAAAGAGGAGTGAAGTCAAAGGAAACTAGTAATGAACAAATGGGCCTAACTCCAGAACTGAGCTAAAAAGCACAGACGGATAAGACAATTTTATACATGGTCACGCTGTAAAACTTCTGTTTTCACTGTTCTGGGTTTTATTCTGTTTACAGCTTCAGCTAACACAGAAAACCACAGTTTCGCAGGAAGCTGTAAGCATAATTGTCCCAATCATATATGATATGGCTTCAGGTACCACACAACAGGCAGACATTCCCAGACAGCAGAACTCTTCAGTTGCTGCTCCCATGATGGTTAGCAATATTCTAAAGAGGTTTGCAGAACTGAATTCACCACGGCCAGGTACTGTACATGTCCTGTAGGGTAATCTTCTGCATGCTTGAATGGACAAGGTCCCACTTTTATAGTTTTTAAATTGCAGTTTACCTTGAGTTTATTTTGATTGGTTTAATTTAAAATGATCATAAGACCTGGGGGGGAGGGGGAAGAGATTGATGCATGTAGTGATATATTGTTCAGTATACCTCTTTGTGATGCGAGAAGAATTGTGTTATTGGTGCAACACGGACTTTGACATTGACCAAGGAAGCATAATGCACTTAAACTTGGCTCCTACTACTGTAATAACTATGCTACTTCTAGCACTATCACATGAGCCCTGTGTATACATTTCTGTGAAAAATAGTGCTTGTTAGTCATCTTCCACTGTAGGAATATGTCTTCCTGTTTCTTGTAATTTTAATTGTTACAAGATTTTACTACTTGTCTTGTTCTTAATTGCACTCCTCTGAGGAAAGCCTGGGGCCAGGAAGATGGAACTACTACTTATAAATTACTCCATAAAGTAACACCATAAAGTAACACATCACAGCACTCGCTTATTCTTTCTGTATTCCATGACTAACATCTCATCATGACTGTATCTTCTATCTTGTGCTGCCTGCTTTGTTTCCTTGAGAAACTCTTTTGTATCCAATTTCACTTTTCTTTTAATAAAAGCGTTAGAAACTTTTTAAAAGTGATTTTTTTTGGCAAATAGTTTTATTCTTGGGTATGATTTTTTTAAGTTGGCTGGATGTATAGCTTTACCTGAAACACTTAACTTCACAGAAGATTCTATCTCCTCTCCCCTGCTGGATGCCCTTATTGTTATCTACTTGTTAGTATAATAGTTAAGACCATTATATAGGCCTTGTTGTAAAAAGTCAGTATATTCCTAGTATAGTATTAGAGCATAGACTTGATTCTGAAACTGCATTGTGTGGATGGCACATACCATTTGACTACACTGAAGCAGCTTATAGGATTAAGGTGGTATGAATAATGCCTCTTCGAATGCTTGCCTTTGCTTTTGGTAAACACAATCCTGAATCCCCTCCTGATCATCACTGAGGTAACTGTGACTTTGGGGAGGGTTAGCCATGTGTTTCTACCTGGGTATGAGAGGTTCAAGGTGAGTTATTCAAAATCCATGCTTTGTCTCACTGGCAACTGGAATATTGTGCATGCTGTCCATCATTCATGCATGAGCCAAAAAAAAAAGGCTTCCTAACATTCAGATGCTTAAGGGGTGAAAATACTGGGAAGAAAAATGCAGTTCTGAGTATTATATTTAACAAGTGGGGGACCCGCGATACTCGCGGGAGAGGGGGAGCTCCACACCTATGAGGAAGAGGAGGAAGCAGCAGGAGGAGGTAAGTTCCCACCCATCCTGCCGGTTCCCCGTCTCCTCCACCCCCCCTCCACCCCCCGGCCCCAACCCCCCCCCCCCCCCCCCCGGCCCCCCCCCCCCCCCCACGCCCC